TCAGGGATTTTATATGATACATATCTTTTAAAATCTATTGATCCTTAATTTATGGCCTAACATGGTCTATTTTGGAGCATATCCCATGTGCAAGTATATTCTATTGTTATCGTGTATTCTATATATTTTCTGTTAGATCTAATTGGCTTATTGTATTGTTCAAGTCCTCTGTTTCCTTATTGGCCTTCTGATTGTTTTATTATTGAGAGTGGGTCATTGAAATCTCTATTGTTGTAGAACTGTCTATTTCTTCTGTTAATTTTGTCCATTTTTGCTTTGTATATTTTGATGGTCTGTTATTAGTTATATAAATGCTTATAATTGTTATATGTCCTTGCTGTCTTGAATCTTAATATGTAATGTCTCTGTCTTATGGAACCTCATTTTGATTTAAGGTCCATTTTGTTTGGTACCAGTATGTCTATCCCTGCTTTCTTTTGGTTACTATTTGCATGGAATATCTTTTTCCATTCTTTTACTTTCAATCTATTTGTGTCTTTGGATCTAAAATGAAACTTAGTAGACAGCATATACTTGGATCATGGGTGTTTTTTGTTGTTGTTATTTGTTTGTTTTTTAACCCATTCTGCCAGTTACTGTGTTTTGCTCTGAGGATTTAATCCAGTTATATTTAAAGTAATTACTGATAAGGAGGGACTTACTTCAGTCATTTTGCTATTTATTTACTATGTGATTTTAGCTTTTTTGTCCCTTATTTCCTATATTACTCTCTATTTTGTGTGTTTGATTTTTCAAATGTGAAACATTTTTATTTCATTCTCATTTCATTTTGTGTATATTCCATAATGATTTTCTTTGTCGTTACCACAGAGATTACATTTCACATCCTAGATTTGTAATACTCTGATTTGAACTTTTACCGGCTTACCATTAATAACACAGAAAAACTCTCATCTTATACAACTCCATCCCCAACACTTTTAGATAGTAATGTCATAAAATTACCTCTTTATACATTGTGTGTCCAAAAACATAGATTAATAATTTTTTAATGTATTCATCCTTAAATCACGTAAAAAACAAAAAGTGGAGTACAAACCAAAGTTACAATAATATGAACTTTAAAATTTTCCCAGGTATTTGCCTTTACTAGAGATCCTTATTTCTTCTCATGGCACTGAGTTATTGTCTAGTGTCCTTTCATTTCAACTGAAAGGACTCCCTTTAGCATTTCTTGCAGAGCAGTTCTCTTGGTAACACATTCCCTCAATTGGGAATGTCTTCACTTCTCCCTCAGTTTTGGTGGATAGTTTTGTCAGATTTAGGAGTCTTGGCTGTCAGTTCTTCTCTTTTAGCACTTTGAACATGTCAGCCCACTGCCTTCTGCCTTCTGCCCTCTAAGGTTTCTGATGAGAAATCTGATAATCTTAGTAAGTATCCCTTGAATGTAATGAGTCACTTCTTTTTTGCTGCTTTCAGTATTTTCTTTATGTCTCTGTCTTGACAATTTGATTATAATGTGTCTCAGCATGAGTCTCTTTGAATTCATCCTTCTTGGAGCTCATTGAGCTTCTTGGGTGTTTATATTTATGTCTTTTTACATCTGTGTAGTGCGGGTACAAAAAAAAAAAAAGTCATCAAATTTGGGTAGTTTTGGCCATTTCTTAAAAATAGTCCCTCTTCCTCCTTGTTTCTGTCTTTCCTCTGGCACTCCCACTTTTTCTTCTATTAGTTGCATGTGGGTTTTTGTCTGTTACAAATTGAGCTACTGTAACCATTAGTGTATAGGTCTTTGTGTGGAAATATTCTTTCTCTTCTCTTGTGTTATTATCTAAAAGTGCAATGCCTTTGTTGCAGGGTAGGTGAATATTTTACATTTTAGGAAACTGCCAAATTGTGTTCTAAAATTATTACACCATTTTACATCCCCTGGGATGTAAAATTTAAAATAAATATAGGGATGTATATTTATTTAAAATTTATTAAAATATTAAATATTAAAATAAAAATTTAAAAATAAATATAGGGATATATATTTATTTTTCTTTTTTTTTTTTTTTTTTTTTTTTTTTGAGATGGAGTCTGGCTCTGTTGCCCAGGCTGGAGTGCAGTGGCTGGATCTCAGCTCACTGCAAGCCCCGCCTCCCGGGTTCACACCATTCTCCTTCCTCAGCCTCCCAAGTAGCTGGGAGTACAGGCGCCCGCCACCTCGCCCGGCTAATTTTTTTTTTGTATTTTAGTAGAGACGGGGTTTCACCGTGTTAGCCAGGATGGTCTCGATCTCCTGACCTCGTGATCCGCCCGTCTCGGCCTCCCAAAGTGCTGGGATTACAGGCTTGAGCCACTGCGCCCGGCCGATATATATTTATTTTTCTTAAGTGAACTTTAGTGGTTTGTGTCTTCAAAGAGAGTTTGTTCATTTTATTTTATTTACCAGATTTATTGGCATAAATGGTATAATCCCCCATGAAATTGCATCCCTGATTGTGAGCAGGAGTTCCAGTTTTGTCACATAATCACCAACAATTGCTATGATCTGTGTTTTTAATGTTCATAATGCTACTAGGGATGGAGTAATAATATCTCATTGTAGTTTTAACTTGCATTTCTCTGAGGGTTTATGATTTTGAGCATATTTTAAATCATGTTTTTATTTGCCACCCATATAACTTCTACGGTAAAATGTCTACTCATATCTCTTGCCTTTTTAAAAGTAAATATTAGTTGATATTGAACTAGTAAAGACATTTTTTGGAACTGCAGTTATTCATCGATAAGTAACTGCAGTGACTTATTTGTTTTATAGGGTAATTTTGAATATTGGAAGAATATTTCCTCAAAATTTTGTGCTGTTCACAATGGAAAACTAGAGACATGAAACATTTTTAAGTTTAATCTGAATGATTAATATATTCTCTACTTTTTTAAGTCTACATGGCCAATAAAACAATAGATCAACTTCTGGTTTGTAGTGTTTACCAATACCCTACGTGTAAATACTTCTGTCTTGGCCAATTTCAAGCTTCAACACAATGTCTCTGAATATGGAGTTGGGAAGACATGTGCAATAGCACACCATTGTATTCTGTTTCCACTGAATAGATGCAATAAATGTAAATAACCTCTAAAGCATAGAAAATAGTAAAATAATTAGGAAATGAGGATTTTTAAAGTTTTTTTGTTTGTTTTTTTTTAGAAAAACAGCTTTATTGAAGTTTTAAACTACACATATTTAACATGTACAAGTTTTGTTACATGTTTATAGCCATGAAATTGAGGTTTTCTTGGGCCCTCTGTAATCTCTTCCTCCTTACCCACCTACCCATCTTCAGGAAACTACTGATCTGCTTTCTGTCACTCTACATTTGTTTACATATTTTAGAATATTACATTAATCTGGGGGTAGCTTAGGTAGGTCTGGGTTGAGAATCCCCCATGAAATTGCAGTTAAGCTGTCTCTGGAGCTACAGTCTCGGGAGACTTGCTAGAGGCTGGAAGATTCAATTCTAATCTCTTTTCCATGGCAGTTGACAGGAAGCTTTAGTTCCTTGCCACATGGGTCTCTCCATAGGGATGCTCATCACATGGATTCTTTTTTTTTTTTTTTTTTTTTGAGACGGAGTCTCGCTCTGCCGCCCAGGCTGGAGTGCAATGGCCGGATCTCTGCGGCTCACTGCAAGCTCCCCACTGCCCGGGTCACCGCCATTCTCCTGCCTCAGCCTGGCCCGAGTAGCGCGACTACAGGCGCCCGCCACGCGCGCCCGGCTAAGTTTTTGGTTTTTTTTTAGTAGAAACGGGTTTCCACGTTTAGCCAGGATGGTCTCGATCTCCTGACCTTCGTAGTCCGCTCCGGCTCTCGCTCCCAAAAGTGCTGGGATTACAGCTTGAGCACCACCGGCCCGGCACATGGATTCTTTTAAACACAGAAAGTGATCCAAGAGCAGGAGAGTCTACCCAAGAAGGAGACCAGTGTCCCTGATAACCTAAAATTGGAAGTTATATGTCCTCACTTTTTCTGTTTTATATGGGCTTTACAGATCAACCTTTGTAAAATGTGCGAAGGGTACCCAAGGGTAAGAATTCCAGGAAGTAGAGATTTGGGGTTCTTTTTTAGAGTTTACCTGCTACAATCACATTTTACCTTGTTTTAAAGTCTTTTTTTTTTTTTGAGACGGAGTTTCAGTTTTGTTGCCCAGGCTGGAATGCAATGACATGGTCTCGGCTCACCCCTCTCCCTACGCAACGCTTCCCTGCTTTTGCACAGTTGATTTTGTTATCTGGAGCTTTTGCTGAACTTTCTGTACGCGATTCCGGCGGCTTAAGGAGATTTGTAGGCAGGCGCCCCGGCTCGGAGACAATGGGTCGCCGCTTAGGCTTTTTTTATTGAGATTACGGGTCTAAATTAGGTTTCATAGTCGATATCGCTCAGAGCTGGTTCCGCTGGATACTCTCGCTGATTAACGTCGATCTCGACCCAGGAGTCGGATCCAGGTCCATGTTCCGGTTCTTCCTCCTATATCCATGCGGAACTGATTACAGTACACCCGCGCATCCTCTGTCTTGCGCCCTCGGCCGTCGCACTTCAGGCTATGAGCCATCTCTGCCGCCCTAGCCATGACCTCATTTCTAACATCATATGTGAATTATAGGAGTATAACTAAATCAGAAACATAAGAATGTCAGTTAATTTAATCTTTAATTACCATTAAAAAATTTAATGCAGGTGTGGGGGCGTTGCAGCGCTAAATCCAGCAGGGACTGAGGGGTGGATCATCCTAGGTGGATGTTGAGACGATATGAGAAATGCCCGTCGTTCTACTAAAATACCAAATATTCCTGTTGTGTGGTGATTGCTATCCCAGTCTTCAGAGTGGAGCAGGGAGAAGTATGAACCTGGGAGAGGGGCAGGAGGCTGTGTCGCTTTCTGGTGGCCAC